ACTATTTTGAGATGAAATTATTTGATAAACTATCTTTTCGTCTTTGGATTCGGTATGTTGACGACACTTTCGCACTTTTTGATGGTTATAAAGAGGATTTATCCGAGATTCTATCTATTATGAATTCAATTGATCCAGCCATCCAATTCACTCTTGAAATTAAATCCAACAATTCTCTCCCCTTCCTTGATATTCTTATAATCCGCAATGAAACTGATTTTAGCATCACTGTGTACCGTAAACCCTTTGCAGTTTATTTGCCACCCTGTTAAGCAAAAAATGACTTCCTTTTACTATTATGTATTCCACGCGCTTAAAGTTTGTTCCTCTGAATCTTTGCTTACCAATGAACTTAATTATTTGAGAGCAGTTGCGATTGACCGTGGATTTTCTCCCGTGATTATTGATAAAGCCGCTAAAAAATTTTCAGATTCCCATCAAAGAAGACATTCCACTGTTAGAAATAATATTAATGACCTTGTCGTGCTTCCATTTTATCCTTCTGTTAGCTATAAAATTGCACGGATTCTCCAGAAACTCAATTTTGAAGTCGGTTTCTCCCCTATTAATAAAATTCACCCTTCGATTCTAAAAGATTGCGTTTCTGTCTTGAATTCTTGGGGAATTTATAGTATATCGTGCCAGTGTGGTTTAAGATATATCGGCCAAACGAAAAGAGCGTTTGAAGTTTCGTATCAAGGAACATGAATCTTTTATGTCAGAAAGGCGAAATTAACAAGTCTTCAATAGCGTATCATAGTTGGACTTTTAACCATAATTTTGATTTTGGATCTCCAAAAATTATCCAAAAGGCTTCTTCCATAGGTGAATTGGATTTTCTTGAGGCTTTTCACATTCACAAAGATTTAGCAGGTTTAGTTAATGATTTGAAGTCCAATCCAGTCCTTCCTAATGCCTTTAAAATTCTACTATCTTAATTCTGTTATTTTTGCCGATAGATAGCGTTACCTCCTCGCGTTTGGTACTACCAGAGGGTATAAAAATCCGTTCATTGGTTGCTTTCCATTATTTGAAGTTCAGATTTTGAGCGTAAGGTGCATTTGCCCCCTCGCTCCCTATTTTAACTTCGCTAATTTTTCATGCTCGATCAGATAGCCTGGCTCAGTAAAAGTAAGCGGCCAGTGCAACTCTGATTAAAAATCTAGTTATAACCACGTGCAGTGCTGATAAGGACCACGTGTTTCTGTGACTCCTTCTCCTTTATTTTCTTCTTTCTAGGTATTTCTTTCTTCTGATGAGGAGGGACCTTTAGCTGCCCTCAAAATCGATTGAATGTTTCATTATACCTATGCTAAATACAAGGTTGTTTTTACAATTTTGATTGAATAGGGACTGTTCATAAAAATTCACAAGTTATTGACAAATAAAGATTTGTATTAATTTCCAAGTTTCAAATCAATACAAATCTTTATTTCTGCTCATATGAACCAAAGGTGCAAAAAATATGTGATGACAGAATCCCACAATAATAGAGGAAATTTGATCGCAATCAGCAGAACTAAAAGTATGTATAATATACATACATACAGTCAAAAGTCGTTAATCCGGACTCGTCAGGACTTCGGCGATTCCGGATTATAGATCATCAGTTTAAATCTCGTAAGATGGCATGCAGCAATTCTAAAATTAAAAATATGAAACCGTAATTTATGAAATAAAGAACAATTATGATCTAAAGGGTATCCAAATTTACAAAAACTTAATATTTATTTGTTTACTTTAATAAAACATTTCTTTCAATGTAAGTTGCTTCGTTTTATGTGATAATACTTTCTCTTTAATTCTATAAACAGACATAATTTCTTGTTCAGTTACAAAGTTCCGCTGTTCAAATCCCGTTAATTGCTATGCCGAGAATACCGACTAACTTGTCAATCGAAATTTTTTCGTTTTTACTAACCTCTCTGTCACATTCTTCATGTCTTTATCCATTTTTTGCAGCAATTCCACTTTTTGTTTGATGAACATCGAAACATACTTTCGTTTTGTACGATCCTTTGGGGGCTTTAGAATCGGAAATTCTATTTGACATAATCGAAGGTTCAAGTTTACTTTTATAGTATTGCTCTTACAGTCTGCAAAAAATAATAAGCCGGATCCAATTCGAAAATTAAGGAACAACGCAATCATCAACATTAACTGAAATCGATAATTAGATAATTTTAGCTTATACCGTCCATTATACATAAAACGCGCAAGCGAAAACGTATTCTTCACTTGCGCACACTCATATGCGCAGTTGTAAAAGGTCTTACGCGCACGCGTAAACGCCTATGCGCATGTGTCAACGTGGCGCATGCGCAGAAAGTTTTTAGCTTTGAGGTCCGTATTATAGATCATTCCGAATTATGGGTGTCCGAATTAACGACTTTTGACTGTACTCTTCTCACTTGGCCTTTATTTTTACAATTGTGGGTTGTAGTCACATACTTCCAATTACAGAGATGTTTTAAACGATAAAAATATTCATTTTCATAAAAATATTCATTCAAGGTCAGATTTAAAAAAAAAATTAATTTTGGACAAATAACAAAATCTAACTAACTACTATGGTCTGCCTGTTTCTATACTTATATTTAGGAAAGTTTTGTACTTATGATTAAATATAAATAGTTTGATTCCTGTTTGACAAAAAAATGTACCAGATATTTAATTTCAAAACTTGCAATTTTTTATGCTATTTTCAACTTGTCTTGAGAAACCAGTTGGAATAATTCAAGGAAATAAGTTTAAATGAAGCACAGCAAAAAATGTGCAGAATTTGAAAGGCCATGCAAGGAAGTTATGTGGCATTCCCATCATATTTTTTTTACCTTTGAAATCAACATCAACATTGACAGAACAAAGAAAATCATATAGGATAATTAAATTATTAGATAGAACATGTAAAAAACTGAATATCTAATAAAGTACTGAAGACCTTCTTTTCAATTTTACGATTTATATCATGGTATCTCAACCGAGAATGATGCACTCATCCTTTTATTTGCCTGTTAATTATTTATGAATATAAGAAACTACTTTATTCAGGTTTTAATATTCATGAACATTTCTTATGCTGTGTTTAATTTACAAAACACATTCAAAAATAACCTAAACTTAAATAAATGTGTGCATATTTTTCTCATTTGGGAAAGGAGAGAAGGGGGAATCATCATCTGGCAATGATGAAAGGGGTGCAGGGGACAAAAAAGGTTGAGAACCACTGGTCTATATTCCTTCCAGATGCCACCCCCCCCCTAAAAAAAGACAAAATAGATCAGGTGAAAAAAATTACATGTCCTGTTTACTTCTTACATGTATAGAGAGTTATCATTTCTTTTCTGTGAAAAGAAAGTTTAATTTATTGATGTGCTCTAATTCCCTGAGAAGCACAGCCTGAAAAATAGTTCTGACTGATGAAAATTTCAGCAGCTTTACGCCATTTCAGAGTTTTTCATAAAAGTGCCAGTACATTTATGCCAATCCACTATTTTCATGATCTGGACAACTTAATAACATAGATATATTGGGTTTTAATGAAAATTTCTAGCCACCGCAAAAATCGTCTGTGCAAACAGTTGTTTTTAATCATATTTTGTCACACGATTTTTGGCATTTGAAAGAAAAAGACTTGCTTTAGAAAACTGTGGTGTGAAATTTGTAAAAGAACATTGTTATCATAATGTATAAGATGTCTGAAATGGAACTATCACCCTACCAGATTAGAACCATCATTTACTTTCAGCTCTTTTCCAAAAAGTCAGCTACAGAATGTCACCAAATCATGTATACAGCTGGTACTAATGTTGCATCATATGACATTGTGAAAGTTTGGTACCGAAAGTTCAAAAACAAAGACTATGACATTCAAGAAGTAGAGAGCTCTAGCCTACTGATGTTGACGAGGCCTCCCTGTGAGAACTTGTGGTAGAAGATCAGTATACAACCACTCGGGAGCTTGCTAAGGAGTTGGAGGTTAATGCTATGCATCTCATAAACTTGACATATATGTCCAATTACTGGGCGTCACAGAGCTTGTACAGTCATTAGGATTTATTGGAAGCAAGAGAGATGAAAAAGAAGCAATCGCCTTCGCCGGGAATCGAACCACGTACCTCTGGAATACCAGCCCAGCGTGCTACCGTTACACCACGAAGCATGCTAGGGAAGTGGGAGAAATACCTTATATACTCCCCCTTCTTAAAGGGCGTTCTAGAATACTGGCTCAGCGTGCTACTGTTACACCACGAAGGCATGCTAGGGAAGTGGGAGAAATACCTTATAAGCTGACTAAAGCAGATAAGGGCAGACATATTCAGTCTTGCACAAATCTGCACGAATATGAACGCAAGGACAAAATTCTGGGTTAGACTTGTGATGAAAGTGAATTTACTTCAACAACACAGGCCGAAAAGCAGGTTGGTCTGCGCCCGTCAGCAGCGTCGCAAAGTGCAATTTGATTAACAAAAAGACCATACTTTGTATCTGGGATTGTTGTGGTATTATCCACAAAGAATACCTGGGAAAAAGTACACACCCACCCTATAGCCCCAACATTGCTCCTTTGGATGTCTATCTTTCTTCACACCTGCAGCTACGTGATGCTACCTTCCATCCTGCACTGTTTTGGGGCTTTGAAAAACTACCAAAATGGCAGAAAATCATAGATTTAGGTGGTAATTTCTACCTGCATTAAAGGTACTGCTTTCGTGTTTTTTGTTTCTAGCTTTATTAAGAAAGTTTTTTAGTGGAAAACTTTCATTACAACCAGATAGTTGAAGTCAGTACTATTAAATATATAAATGATATATAATAAAAATATATATAATGCCAATGAAATACATGCTAATTTCATATTTAAATGAAATTCCAGATAATATTTTAAGGGTCTCATTCATCTAGTAATTTTACAAGATTAAAATTATAAAATTTAACACATTTACTTCCAATTTTATTATCAAATAAAATTCTATTCATTTCAAATACATGATACATACCCATCAACATCTTTGCTTGGAGAAATTGCATTTGTAATCTGAGCAGCATTTATAGGAGTATCACAGTCAAGAGGAAGCTAAAAGAAAGATTTTATTTGTGACTTAAAGGAAAACAAGTTTCATATAACATTCAAGATCAAACATATGTTTACATTTAAATCCCACATATTCAGACATACAATAAATCTATCAGCACTTTATAAAATCCTCTTTCTATATAAATATTTGTTTGTAAACTAATTACTTATTCCATCTAGTAATCAACTGATTTTAAAGTTAAAATATATTACTGTTATGAAGTCCTCTATAATAATACTTCTGTTCACCTCTAGAAATGAGAAATATTTTTACCTCTATATTTCAGATTTTTGAATTTTTTCCTGAAAAACTAATATAACCTATTAATAAAGGAAAATAATTAAATAATTACCTTTTAATAGCTAACAGCTAAGTTTCAAATTCTATTAATTGCTATTACATAGCATTAACTTAGTTTCCTTATTGCTTTACATTACAACTTTCTTAGTTAATTAAAAAATGTGAAATATACAGGTAAAAATGTTCCTCATTCTTTTTTGAGCTCACAAATCATTATGTGAATATGCATTTAAAATTTCTAAAGTCTAAAAACACATACCTGTGATGTTTCATAGTGCTTTATTACTTCCTTGTATGAAGTAAGGGAAACATTGTAATCGCGAAAATTTTGGGTATCATATTTCAACGAAAATATCCATTTCGACCATTGTCAAAATGATTTGAACGATGCTTTTGCATGACATTTTTAAATACAGACAGAATAAAGAAACTGTTTTTGCCAAAAAGGATTTTTAAATGGATTCAGATGAGTTTTTCCTTGACATATGTACGTATCTAACATAACTCAAGAACGAGTAGCCGTAGGAAGTTGCAATTTTGTATGTGGGACTGCTATAACATGTAGTTGTGCACCTCTTTGTTTGGTTGCAATCGGCCGCATGAATCAGTATATAATATAAATATCTGGCTTCGTGAGATTAGTTTTTATTATTCTTATATGTTGGTCAATTGTGCATATTTTGCTGTAAAATGATTGAATTATGCAGTTTTTATGTTCTGGTTCAGGTCTTTATGCTTTTAGTTAGTCTGCATGCAATAGCTATAGAATTATCAACAATTTAAAACCATTTGTTTACATTTGAAACTCGGTAGAATAGCGAATTCAGTCAGTTTCTGCACCTTCAAATGTCCTTTTGCCCTTGCCCACTGCACAGATTGTTTGTTTTTGAGTAGAAACACTAATTTTAATGGTAAAAATTGTTTTTTTAACTGTATTTGGTGTATTATAATTTTCTGTATTTTACAGATTTTAATGAAGATCTTTTGAGTTTTTATGTATTTTTACTTTGCCGCAAAGTAAGAACTGAAATGATTGAATGAAAAATATATCTCTAATGAAATTCAAGGAAATTAGTTTAAACGAAATGCAGCAAAAAATGTGCATAAATGATGCTTTAAATCTGCAAAATTTCTAAACTACTTTATTCCTATGGCTGTCTCATGCCATGATGTTTTCTTCTTGCATTGTTTTGTCTGCAATATTTTCAGGCAGACATATAATAGACAGCCTCAGTGTGCTCTGCTGTAGTTATCGAATTCATTTAAAAATTCCCCAGCCGCATTTTAACCCAATTCAAGATTAAATTTTTGGTTAAATTTTTATTGCTCAGTAAATTCTAGATCTATTATTTTGAAAATTATAAATTCTGCATTACATAATATTTTGAATTCTCCATTTTTCCAAAACATTTTCTAGGCATGTATGTGAAAGATAAAAATTTTAACTCCCTAAACCATATAAAATACAGAGGGTGTTTATACATTCTTAGAATGATTTTGGAACCATTTAATTAATATTTAAAAGCATAAAGAGTACTTTTTTTAATAGCTTGATCTGACTGCTTTTTCTCTGGAGTCTGCATCAAGATTTCCATTCCTCTTCCACTAATTTCTAGAGTCCATCAATTGTGGTGGGTTTGCACTTGGAAATAGTGCAAACCCTTGTGCACTTGGACTTGGAAACAGTGCTTCAAGAGACCAAAGGCAATAATCCATCAGTGAAACTTCAGGGAACTTGGGGATGTCAGGAGGATACGTAGAAAATGTATACATGCAAACCTTTATCAGTCTTTATTTTTTCAATGAATGCAGTGGTAATCTTCAAAGTATAATTTGTTGCTTTGTCTTGATGAAATTTCACTCCCTGAAAGTCACTGAGATAAAGAACTGGAATTTCTTCTGTAAATACCAGATGTAAAATTTTCTTTTCTTAGCATATTGAATTGATTTAAACAATTTTCCCCCATCCTTCTTAGTTTTAATTTTCTACTAAAAGGGCATCCTGCGACAATCATAAACCTCTTGCTCAAACTTTCTTTTGCATTGATGTAGCCAGGTTTGTATACTTTATCTGCTCTGTGTTCAATAACAAATAAACCTTTTCATTGTTGTTTCTGTTGTTGCAGTCATTTAGGTAAACCCCTGCTTCATCAAGAGTCATTATGTATTTCCATTTAAATCCTGCTAAATAGTTTTATACAGGCTTCTACAAATTATTAAGCATTGGGCCACACACCTCAGCAAAAGCTGGTGAACATTATGGTTTTAGCTTTTTTAAGTTGTAAATGTTAGTTTAATAATTTATTTATTGATTCTACGATATATTTAAAAAGGCACCAATTCAGAAGTCAAACAGCAAAAATCAGCGTTAAATTTCAAAATTTTTACAGGACTAGTTTCGATGGTTTTACCGAACCACCATCCTCAGCTGCAAAACCGCAAATGAACAAGATAGGAAATAATGATTAGATAAGATAAAAAAGCCTGGACAAGAATAAGCAAGTGGCGCCATCTGTTGGTGAAACCAGAACTAAAACATAATTTCTTTAAAGGAAAAAGGCAAAGATGGATTGGAAATAGGATCGTTAACAAGAACAGAATTTTTTTTTTAATGTGAAATGCCTCTAGAAAATCCGTCTAGGCTTTCTTATCTTATGTAATCATTATTTCCTATCTTGTTCATTTGCAATTTTGCAGCTGAGGATGATGGTTCGGTAAAAATATCAAAACTAGTCCTGTGAAAATTAACGCTGATTTTTGTTGTTTGACTTCTGAATTGGTACTTATTTGGTGTGTTATTGTGTCTTAATTATATTTAAAAGGAACAATTGATTTCTGTGTTGGCAGATTTGAGAAACATTTGAAACAATCCATACTTTTTTCAGGATTCGTTTGGAGTCTTCTTCCATGTAGAATTAATGACCGATGGTTTTGAGGTGGACAACACAAAGATAAGAAATTAATGTATTCCGTCCCCCACGAGTCACGACATTCAAGCCACTACGAAGTGTGAAACAATAGGCCATGACATTGCAGGAACAATAATTGGTCCATTTACGGCTCCACTCGACCTTACAAGAATCATAACTTCATACCATCTTCAAGGGATTTTAGAAATCTGCACTGTGTCACCAAAGCTTCTCAGTTTCAGGGATGCCAATGGGCCAATGATCCTGTAGTGAACTATTGACTAGAGAGACTACTGCTAGCAAGATCCTCACATAATAAGTACATGATAGAAGCTAACAATCATTTCTATGCCTTCAATTTTTTTATGTATTGTAATACACTTCTCATAGTTAGTTCTATATGCAGTAATATGCAACCTTAGAAAATGGAATTAACGCCAGTTACTACATGAAGTTGTACCATTAGTGCAGCATACCATCACCACTGCAGTTTTTCCCTCTCTGATTAATACTTTTAGAAATTTTACTACTATGCATTTCATAGTGTCTTTGAATTATGGAATTTTTCTCTTCAGAAAGCATAAAACATATTCACATGTGACATTTTGAAATGAGGATAAATTTATAAGTAGCAAATGATATTTCACATTTCATGTAATAAGCTGTTGCCTAAAAGATTTAATTCCAAAATATTTGCTTTTTTTTTTTTTAAATTTTTTATTAAAATCATTCTAAAAATGTGTAAACACCCTCTGCTTTTGGTTTCTGAGAGATCAAATAACAACCAAGATGTATTTACACTATTTTTAAAATATTAATTTTTATAATATTAATTTATATTATAATATTAATATAAAATATTAATTTTATTACACAGTTTCATGATGTATAACTACCATAAACATATTTCAAGATTTATAGCTACTCTAAAGCTACAAAAGTGCAAGGAATTTTGGGATGAATGGATAATAGATTTTCTGGCAAATAACGTAAAATCTCGTAGTGTATTGCAAATTAGTGTATTGTCGAGTTTTGTCTTAGACTGTGCCAAGTCGAGAGCTATACTCTTGTGTATCGTCTGGAGTCTCGGGAGAGTCTTGAGAGTATGTGGAGTTCCGAGAACGACCAAGGAGAGTTGGGAGCTGTACTTAGGTGCTTTGCAGTGAAGCTGTCTCCACCGTTATTGCCTGACAGTGTGAAGGCTGTGTCGCTGAACGTGTCAGCGTGTTTATAACAGTTCGACGACTGCAAAACTGATTTTGGAGCTCTCCTGATTAAGATTGGCTAAATAAAGTGTGTTTCGATACTTCATCAAGTAGTGTCGTCGTTATTCACTCCAAATCCATGCAAACCTCATACGAACGTGAAGGAAGAGAAAAACACAACAACTGGTGTCAGAAGTAAGAAAGAACGCAACAATATTATAAAGAGAATGCATTGAAATGTTTACTTTCTTTCTTTTTTTCCCCTGTGTTGTCTTATCTTTATCTATTTTCAGATACATTGTGTAAAAATATTTGGTAATTGTAAAATTATTGTGGTAAGTTAAAGAAGTATCAAAACTGCTAAAATTTTTGGTGACCCCTTGTTTCAGGTCGTGACTCACAGTCTGAGAAACCCTGATATAGAAGACTTAATCTTGTGAATTTCATATTTCTCTCCAATGTATTCTTAAATGTTTTTTATGTATTGAAATTTTCACCTATTTCTGTAAGATGATTTATTCTTATGAATTGCGTATTTCTCTTCATGCAGCAATGTTCATTATTGCATGAACAGATACATCATAG